TTATGTTCGAGAATAAACATACTCATGAAACACAAACACCAAGATTTAATGGACTGTAGCTTTATTTCTTTTAACTTCTGTTTGGATGGACACTCTTGCCATCGCATAGGTGCACCTCCCAGCACGCAATCAAACACAATAATAATGGCCGCGCTAGCGAGCAAATCGCAAGAGTTATCAAAAATCGCTCTTTTACTCGCATTGTCGAATAGCGGTTTTATCGAATAGAATCGGTTGCTTTCGAATCGAATGATAATTGCTAACAATACCCGTGTGCCACATTTTTCATTGATAATTTCGAATTTTTTTGGTTAACTCATCGGGCAAAACTCTTGTTTACGTTATGTGTTTTAGTTGAAATATTGTTTAGTTGTTGATAATTAAGAAAATGATCAATTTTGATAGCGTGAAGCGTTATTTTGTATTTGCTTTGGTCATACTTATAAAGCAGAAAAGTTGGGTAGGGTTTGGAAGTACGCTACAGAGCATATTAATGTTTGTAAATTGAAAATTTAGATGATTATTGATTTTTTTTCTTGAGCGTGCCATAGGGAGATTTTATTGATTTGATTTGAAATATTATATACTGCACTTGGGTATTGTTTAAATAAGAATATGTAGGTTAATATAAGTTCTTTACTTCCTTGTACGAAATAAAAAGGAAGTAAGTATTGTAATCGAGAAAAATTTTTGGGTATCATATTTCAACGGAAATATCCATTTTTGAAGATTACAGAATCCATGTGAATTATTTTTTTGGATAACGTCTGTACTAACAAACACAATTTTTTTTTTTTTTTTTTTCCAGAAACGGATTGTTAAATGTAATCCCATTTACTCTAAGCTGATACTTATGACTAATGATTATGACTCTAAGTTGATACTTGAAAGGGCGATTTGAGTTCGTGACGTGATGTATAGTACGTATATATGCATTTCGCATAACTCAAAAACGATTAGTTCTAGAACGTTTAAAGTTTGTATATGGGCCGTTATAGCATCTAGATGTGCACCTCCCTTTTTATTGCAATCGGTAATACTACGAAACGTAAATATGTATATTTAAATAAATTATAATTAAATGTAAAGTACATATATATATATATATCCTTATAATTAAATGTAAAGTACACACATATATATATATAAATATAAAATAAAAGCCAAGTAAGGCGAAAATAAAAGCCTTGGTTTTTATTTTATTTATTTATCACTAAGTTACTTGGCTTTTATTATTTTACCAGAGTATAGATAGAAATTTGGTTATGTAGCCTATTCTTCTAAAACTACGTTTCGTCGCTGCCTTCCCCCCACCAATTCCCCTCTTTTTTTTCGGTTTCGGATTATTTGGTTACGGCAATGCACACTAGGGCTATTGCCTAAGGGAAGGGATGCCTTCGTGGAGGACTTTTTAAAAGACACTGGCTCATATGCAAGTTACACATGGGGAAAGCCACGAAAACGACCGTGCAGCCAGCCGTTAGCCGGGAATTGAACCCCGAAACGAACTATTAGTCTTCAGCGACTTTACCGCTCGAGCGCTGGTGGGCTCTTCGCTGTTTTCAAAATAGGTGTTCACTTTACGATAAAGCAAGCACCTGTTTTCTTCAATTAAAACAGGTTGATGACTCTTACTACTTCATTCTCACTTAGCTTTTGATTTCTAATATTGATTCAATATTTTCTGTAGACATTCTGATTAGAATAATGGATTTCAAACATGTGCAAAAGGTGTGTATCTGAATGTAATTAGGTTTTTATAACATAGGGCCCATTTTATTAATTTATAAAACAATATTATCGCTGTTTAGAACCACATTATCGCTGTTTTGAAAGAAAGCAAAAATGTGACAAATGTATAATGAACATTAATATACATGCTTTACTAGAAATTCACCCTTTCGTCATTAGCGGTTCTGATGAAAGGAATGGGGAGAAGCAGCAAACGAAATAATGAATAACGGACAAATAACGAAATCTAATCTTTAATGCCATCTCCCAATTTCTTTAGCCCAACAGCGGTCGAGCGGTAACGTCGTTGAACACTGGTAGTTCGGTCTGAGGTTCGAATCCCGCGAACGGGCTGGCTGCATGGGTGATTTCGTGGTTTTCCCCATGTCTAATGTGTATACCAGCAATTTCCCTTAGAAAGTCCTCCACGAAGGCATCCCCCCTTTAGGCAGATAGCCCTAGTGTGCTTTGCCTTAATTAAATACACCAACCCAGTTTCTTTATTTGTATTTGGGAAAGTTTTATTGTCACTATGAAAAGTGAAATTTGATATGGATACCGCATAACTTTTTAAATTATGCTTATTTTTGCTGCACTTCATTTAAACGTATTTCCTCGAATTATTCTAACTTAATTAAGCGATACCCGAAGGCAACTTACAAATGGCATCAAACACTGCAAATTTTGAAATTAAATTTCCCGGTCAATCTCTGCCTACGGGACTCAAACTTCTTGTATTTTTATTTTTTCATAACGAGTATAAAACTTTGCCAGCTATAAATATAGGAACCAGAAGACAACATTAAAAGTTAGATTTCATAATTTGTCCATTTGACATTGACAAAATATGAATATTTTCGTCATTTAAAATACTTCTGTATTTTTGTTGCACCGTATTTAAACTTGCTTCTTCGAGTTATTGACATTAAATTACATTAATTCCGTTATCTATTAGAAAATAATTATAGCAAATCATATAATTACGACATCTCTAAGAGGTCACTTTCTAAGAGATCTGTATTTTTGAGAACATAAACAAACATTGGTAGTGAACATCACCTTTTTAAGACTACGACATGTAAAATCCTCTAAAAAGCATGAATGGTTGCATTTAAAGAGGACCCATTGTTTTTAATAAAGAATGTAACATTAATGTTAATTATACACGTTTTTGGTGTGTGTGTGCCAAAATAGTGATACCATGGTTCTGTTGCTTTAGAAATGTGTGAAATTAAAAAAAAATGGATACTATATAACAAAAATGTTGCTATATTTAGACACAACACCTTCTGAACACGTCTGAAATTCATTCTTCTGCTCAGCATAATACGTCTGCATAAAATAATAAATAGTATTAGAAATCAAAAGCTAAGTCGAAGTAGAAACAGTCATCTCTTCTAAACCATTTTAATTGAAGTAAACAGACGTTCGTCTTATCGTAAAGTAAACACCTATTTTTCAAACAGCGGATAAAATGGGAAAGAGGGAATTGGTGGGGGAAGGCAGCGAACGAAATGACACTTTTTGGAGCTGGAATGAAATGAGAAAGGACGAAAAGGTACTAAGCCAATAAGACAAGGTCTGGTATTTTACTTTATAATTTAACTATTCATCATAAATTTAAGAATTATTTTAATTTTTATTTGTCTTTACATTTTTGTTAAATTTTACTTATAAGTATTTTATATTTCAGTTGCTAATTATTATGTTACGTTAATTATTCATTATTTTAATCACTATTTTTTATATTATTTTAATTATTAAGTTTTTAATAAGGAATTTTTTATTATTTTAATTACTAATTAATGTTATTATTGTAATATTTATTTTATTTCGTTATTTTATTTTTTTCTATTTTCCTGACGGCCTTCCGTAGGCGCTTCTGACTTCTGAGACACCACAAAAGGAGGTGAATTATTTGTATCTAAAAATACGACGTAAAACTCCCTATCGCATAGGGCCGTATACCGATCCGTAAGGCGGCATCCCTAGGGCCGTATACCGATAGAATAGGCTCAGGATACGAATACCGATCGATTTTACCGAAAGTAACGAGTAACGATACGATAGTAACGAGTACTGGTTCACCGAGTAACGAATACATACGGGTACACAATTTCTCGTTACTTCTACAGCACTACTAGCTAACCACGTTGTCGTTTTCTCCCCTCGTGGTTGCCAGATCACTTCTGCCTTAACATGCATTAAGACAGTGAAAGCATGCTAAATTTTTAAACAAAACTGGGTCATCAAATGTAAGAAGTTTTTGATAAAGTGTAGAAAGACCAAAGTGTGTGTAAAATAACTTCATCAGAAATATTCAAAGCACAAATGTGGCTAAATACAATTCACATGTATCTAAAGTTTAAATATCTAAAGTTTCAATGTAATGTAAGTTTCAATGCAATAACACATATCTAAAGTTTAAATGACTTTTACGGGAAGATAATGGCAAGTTCAAAATGCTTATGTCATAAATTATTTTCGATTACCTTACTTTTTTAAGATTAATCTTCATCCCAATGTCCCATTTCGTCTAATGCAAATATGGTCAGCCTAATACAGCATAGTTATAAATAAACAGGGTATCCCGTAAATAGCGTTTAAACTTTCCATAGTGATGCTCCTCTCTTTACGAAAATATCTAAAATCTACACGATCTGTAATTTTCGAGAAAAATTGAAAAATTCTGACTTCCATACGCTTCAAGAAAAATAAGCATTATAAGCACATTTTATTTTAACATTTATTTTAAATATTAAACTGCTTGCGATAAAACATAATTATAAATTTGCGAAAACATTAATATTGGATTTTTCAATAATTCCCAAATGGAATACATTCCAGAGTGTGAAGCCTGCAAGTTGAGAAGACTTAAACAAATGAAGCCCATAGTTAGCCGACAAATGCATCTATCTACGTCTATCGTAGATCGCATGCATCAAATACAAAATCAATACTTTTACAAAGATACATTTGTGAGTAAAAGAGAGATTGTTTTACTATAATCGGCTTGCATGTTTATATTGTTCAAAATAAAGTTTATTTTTTGCGGAAGTGACCTCATAATTTCTTATTATAACACTCCTCGATAGAATTTTTTCCTCGAAACCAAGTGTTATAGAATTACAAATCTCTGAACAACTGTCATTTATTTAAACAGAGAAATCTTACTATGAAAAGCCTATGCGGTGTTTATCGAAATATTCTTCACAATAATTACTAAACATTCATGCATACTGACAAAATGTACAAAAATAGGATCTTACCTCCTCCTGGGACATGTCTATAACTCTTTCTTTAGGCTATAAAAACAGAAACAAGCAAAAGTTTATTACTTTGTTGTAAGCAAAACAAATTGACCTGAAAAACTCAACAATGTAAAATTTTTCAAGAGTTCAATATTATTCATAAATGATTTTGTTATTGATAACATCGTTTCTATTAATAATACTTCCAGACAACACAATACAATAACATAAACAATTTGATGTCAAATACCAGGCACGGCAGCGTCAACAGCATATAAAAAAAACCTTACCAGAAGCGAACATTATTTTTTAATTTATTATTCGGTTCGCCGTATAACAATTTCTATATGAACGCCACTTATTATTTAATGTTTGATTACGACCTTTCTAAAAGGATGGCCTGGCTACACTCCATTTCTTCTGAGTGGCGTTGAGAACCGCCAATTACCAATTACGAGTCGTAATATATATTGTCAAGAACACCAGCGACAGTTACTGTAAAGTTTTCTTCAGTTCCACTATGGTGATACAACATGTTCTGAAGACTTCTTACTTGAGGCAACTCCATAAGAAATTGCAGAATCGTTATCTTGAAACTATAGATAGTAGAACTATGGTTGATTGGTTTGGTTTAGTTAATTATGTTAAAACATTAGTTGGTTTGGTTTAGTTAATTATGGCAAAGTACATTAGGGCTGTTTCCTAAGGGAAGGGATCTCTTCGTGCAGGACTTTCTAAGGAGAAATTGGCTCGTACACACGTTACACATGTGGAAAACCACGAAAACGCCTATGCAGCCAGCCCATTCGCCTGGAATTGTAGAACTATGGAACCGTTATTCATGAAATAAGTTTCAATAATGACGTCACAAAGTTTAGCAATCCTGATCTCCTTGTTAAACGAACAGGCAAAATGGCAGCTTTAAGAAGCGGATTTAAATAATTGTGCAAATTGCAGTCGCGAAAGGAGCGCCCTAAATTTTTATTACATTTTTAAAATAGTAAACGTACTCTGTATCTTAATAATGAAGGGCCCAAAAAAGTAAGATGAGCTCTTTACTTCGAACATAGGAGATTCATTGGTAAGTTCATTAGCAAAAGAATGCCGCTTCATCTCGCTCACATTAATGTATGGCGTGCATTGTGCAATGCGAATCAAAAAATTCCATAGCCGCCGTCGAACTCTATATCACTAGACATTTGATAAGAAAGTATTCATTTCACAGAAAAAGTTTTTTTTTATTAAATTAGCAGCAACAAAAATATCTACAGTCTATGTTAAGTTTTAAAAAATTTCTAAAGTATTTTATATAGAAGACTGTATTTAATTCATTAGATTACAGCAAAGCAGGTATTTTGTACAGAACACTGGATTTAATTCATTAGATTACGGCAAAGCACACTACCGCTATATGCCTAACGTGATAGATGCCTTCATAAAAGACTTCCTAATAAAGAGAACTGGCTTGCATTCAAGTTTACACATCGGAAAAAAAAAAAAAAACCATGAAAAAATTTCCACACAACCTGCTCTTTCGTCAGGATATGCTTTTAGGACCGTATAGAAGGAAGCAATGTTGCTACAAAAGTCAAACGACACTACCCAATATCGCTTGGTGAAAAAGCGGAATAACTACCAAAATATTTAGCAAGTTAAGATCGTTTACTACCACATGTGGTAATTGTTAAGATAACCAAATAAACTGGTAAAAATTAGTTTAAACCACTTTAACCTGGTCTCATGCAGTTTCTCACGTGACATTAAAATAATCTCAAAGGAACTAAGCGAAGACTTTAAAAGTATTTTTGTTAGAAGCCAAATGTTTGTGATATACATTCTTGCTTGCATTAGTTTTTATACTTTATTTTAGTTTGAAAAAATAAAAATATATATATATATATAAAAATTCACACACAAATACCAAAGAGAAATCCCAGGCAGTACTTGAATTCTTATCGGGAAAAAATAATAATAATGTACCTTTTGTCCACTTTCTGTACAGAAGCAGGTTTCTTCTTGTATATGGATGTTATTGCGTCAAGCCATGAGCATTTGCGTGCTAATCGTAATAAGTTTCGGTTTTCTATTTATACTTTTGAAATTATTATATGTAAAATAACATTGTGGTTGCTGCCAAGAGATAGAGTATAGCAGCAATTAAACAGTGTGATTTTGGATAGAGAGACAAAACTTAACTGGTGGCATCATCTCGAAATAAATAAACATTGTTGGCTTTTAAAATTGCAACCACTATGAAGGAAACTTGAAATTTGTAGAGAAGGTAGAACATACTGGGTTATGCCAATTAATTTCATTTCACGGCATGGGCTAATTATAGACAAGACAGATAACACCTCGAAGTAGTACAAAAGAGCAGGGTGAAAAGCCGATTTTTCAATCGGAATCCTTATTTACTCCTTTGTTTTTTGAGTTAGAGACCATATTACGCAGCGCGTAAAAAGAAGGAATTCATATTATCACGTCCCAGAATTCAGTCGGGACAGAACTCTAGAGTACAGGGATGAGGATTATCCTAAAGCACAAATTCTGTTCGCTTTGATCAGAATCTGCGATCGATAGTTCCACTAGGTACACGGTATTTCGACAGTACCCAGTCAGCAAATGCTCGAGACGAAATGTATTCGTACGCATCACGGCTACGGATGACGTATCCTGGGTAGGAAAATTGAGTGTGTTGCACAGCGTGTGAGTGTGTTTTTTGCGTATATGGTGGGACAATTGTTTTCAATGCTACAAATTGTTGACAGATTTTTACTTCAGCTTTCTCGACGCTACAATACAGGATTAAATGTCTACGGTAGTACGTTCGCGACGTATATCGAGACATCGGTAACTTTGTAAGGATCTTAAGTTTTACTAACGTTTATTTTATTTTAAATCTTTACTATCACTTCTTATTTTCTACTTCCGGCCAGAATTATAAGCGTTAAAGTATTTATGCAAAGTTTGTCTGGCGAACGCCAAGTATTTAAGTTGTGGCTTTTTGCCAAGCGAGAGAGAGGAAGCAGTTAGTCGACGCAGGCCGCTTACCTTAGAAGTTTTACTCAGTTGCTGGTTGCCTTCCAGGCCAGAGGTTTTAATCCTCTTGATAAATTTAAACGTATTGTAGTGTTCACAGTTCTCTGTACTACATACGGCTTCCTGTTAATATAAGGCCAATCTTCCACGTTTATTATTTTAAAGTTAAATTAGAGTTTAGTTTTATTTTATATTTTTTTACGTTTAGACCCACAAGTGGTGGGTCTTTGTATTCCGAAGTACGGAAGGTATTGTAAATAGAGAAAAATAAAGGGTTTTGTATACCCTTCTTGTGTATCCTGTCTACTTCCCACAGTTATTGAACATAGCTTTAGTAAGCTCTCTGTTCCGAGTCAGGTCCTTGCATGTTCCCGAAGAAAGTTAAGAAGGAACATTGAACCTGATAGTGGCGCCCAACGAAGAAGAATAACCATGGCCGAGTTTCAAGAAGAACCTGTGCTGCCTGCAGAAAGCGGCTCAGAATCCAGAAATGCCAGCTGCCGCCCTGGAAGGATTTGGTTACATCGTCCAGACCATGCGCGCTTCGATGAAACCAGAAGCAACATTTAATGGAAACTCACCGGTAACCAGTTTTTTGGAAAAATTGGATGACCACTTCATGCTCTACCCCGTGCACGAATTTCAAAAAGTTACCTTAGCTACCAGCGCTTTGAGGGGCCAAGCGCTTAACTGGTTCAAATGTATAGGCAGAAGTCTCTTGGGTCAAGCAGGAAGTCCCACCTATACTTACGAAGAATTTCAAGACTGCCCTACTAAAAGCCTTCCCTGTTGTAAGGGATCGTGCGAAATTAGAAACGGAACTTTTCAGTATATATCAAGCAAAGAATCGAAAATCTCTCAAGCTTTATTTTAAGAAAAATTCACGTTCTTCAAACTCTTGTATGGAAACCGTCCGGATCCTGAAATAATTCAAGTGATTTTGCCGAGGTTACTACCCCAAGTGCAAGACTTTATTGAATTAAGAAATCCGACTACACTGGAAAAGTTATTTGAGCTAGCAATCCAGTTTGAAAGTAGAAGAACGGCGGACGTCGAAAGAAGACGCCAATATCAACAGCGAAACCAATTTGGTGCGCCAAGACTACAGCAAACTCAAGCACACGGCTACGGAAGCAAAGCGAATCAGTGGGCAAGGAAACCCGAGCATTCAAAAACAGCCGGCGAACGTCGACAGTTCAATAGCAATCCAGGAAAAAAGTCTCAAGGCCAGTGGGAAAAAGAAGGAAAGCACGGAAATGAAAAATAATTTAAACTAAAACGGATTTCTGCTGACGGGAGGGTGCGGAAATCCGAAGGCCACGAAAAAACCCCTCTTCCTTCAAGTTAAATACAGTAATGGTGAAAAATTTGACTCTTCCGAAGATTGGTGAATAATATCCCAGCCACCGCACTCCTGGATACAGGCGCGCAGTGTTCCTGTGGGGCAGAAGATTTTTTAGGAAGTATTTTCGGAAATATCGCATATATAATTCGGATAATACGACAGTGTTAGCGGCGCAAGGAGAAAAATGTAAGTGTATAGGTAAATTACCGCTGTATGTCCGTATCAAGGAAAAACAAGTAAAGGTGATGTTTTTTATAGTAAAGAATCTGCAAGCACATATAATATTTAGGAATAGATTTTCTTTCAGAAGGCACAAGCAACGCTGGATTTTAATGAAGCGTCCCTTAAGCTGACAATGAAACCAGTTCTGGAGAAAAGGCTGAACCGCCGATGTTAAATCTTGACCACCTGCCTAATGAAGAAACAGCGAAGAATCCGACAAGTGGTAAGTGAATTTGCTTCGTTATTTAGTGATATTCCAGGATTTACTCAGGTTACTAACCATAGTATTGACACCGGAGATTCAATGCCAGTTCGCCACAAAGCCATACCGGTATGATAAGAATAAGGAAAAAATTATAGAATGGCATATTCACCGATATGCTACGTAAAAAGATCATAACGCCCATCTCAAGTAGTTATGCTAGCCCGGTGGTTTTATGTAAGAAAA